AGCTTTACTGGGCTGCCATCGTGAGTCTGGGCAGGTGTAGCCCCATGTCATGGAGCCAATCTTCTCCAAGCTCTCACACAGGCACTAACTCGGGGGACCTGCCCCCCCAGTTACATCTTGGTGGGGAAGTTACTTCCATCCCCCTGGCTCAGAGCATGGCTACAGCTATTTAACATATCTATGCAACCAGTTAAAGGTTATAGATATGTTATATGGCCATGCCAGAGGTTAGCTGCAAAGCTGTTGCCATGCAAAACAGCTCTTAATGGCCCTGCTCCATTTGTCCCTTCCCACAACCCACACCTGGGGCAGGGCCGGCGGTGGGGGGGGGGGGGTTGGTGGTGCACGGGGGATGGCGTTGAGGTCATCCTAATATTTCCTGAATACCTTGAGTTCTGGACCCCATTTCAAATCCCTATTTGGGGCCCCCCTCTTGGCTGCATCCTGTTACACTTCCTCCCTCCGTGAATCACCCCTGCCTCCTCCTGACTTTGCAGCCAGGAGCATCGAGAGTGTGGACACATCTGTGTGTGCCCACAGGAGCCTCTCAGCAGACAGCCTCCTGGGTGCTTCCCACCCCCCCCACCCCCCCAACCCGGTCACATCCCTTGGCCCAGCTCTGCACCGGCAGTTGGAGGGCTCAGCATCTCAGACCTTCTGGAGGGTCCAGGCTGTGTGGAATCACACCATCAAACTTCAGGGATATTTCATTCTGTGGTGGGGGAGGTCCCCAGAGGGCCCACTGTGTTGTGCAGAGCGAGCGCTCGGCTTCCTCCTGCGGAGCTGTCCCTTCTGGAGGCATCAGCCCCCACCCTAGCTGCCCCTGCTCAGGGGAGCCCCTGGCCTGCCTCTCCTCCCCTCTCCACCCCTGCTCCTCCTGGGGCAGGTGGTCCGCCAGGCCCATAAATAAGCCCTTCCATTCACAGTCCTTGTTGAGCGCCCCCGCTGCCCCCTGGTTGCTCTGAACTCACACCCAAGCTCCTGCATCCCCACTCCTGCTCATCCCACACCCTGGCTAGCAGAGGGCTGAGGCAGCTCGACAAGAGCCAGAAAACGAAAACAAGAGCCAGTAATCTACTTGCCCCATTAGGGGCTCCCCCGCTTGGCCAGCCCACCCCAGGCATTGAGGGTGCCCCCCACCCACACCCACCACCTTCCTTTCAGCTCGTTGTTTGCAAGTGACTCAGAGCTGCCTCCATGCCGGCTGGTGCTCATTTAGGGAGGGAAAATTCAGTGGCCCACATGAAAACTGCTTTATTAAAGTGCAAAAATATTCCACCAACTGTATTCCCACCATCTGTTTTGCTTGTAATTCTGAAAAGCACAACTCTCTGTGCCTGCTTGGCCTTTGTTCTTTAAAAACTTCCAGAGGGCTGTGGCTGGTTCATGGAGCCACCCCTGCTTGCAGACCCACAGGCCTGGCGGACAGGCCACCCTGTGCAGTGTCCGGGAGCCGGAGGGCCCCTGGCTGTGCAGCTGATGGAAGACCAGAGATGGCTGGAGCGGAGGGAACAGCCGGGCCTGGGGACCGGAGCCTGGGTTCCAGTCCTAGCTCAGGCACCCGTGAGTCCTTTCACCTCGCCAAGCCTCGGCGCCTGCACCTGCAGAGTGGGGCTGAAACACCCACCTCGCAGAGTAACCGGGAAGGTCCAGGTCGGCCACACACGCTAAGGCTCCAAGTCCCTCCCAGTCTCCTCTCCCCGCCACCCCACCTAACACACATTCTCACACTGTGCTTCCCCACTTTGAGCTTTTCCCTGCTCGGCAAACACACGGGCCCTACCACACCTCCTGCCTGGGCCCATGCTGCACCCTCCGCCCGGCACACTCCTTCCTTTCTCTGCCTCCAAACTCCTACACTCCTGCAACACCCGACCTGAGTGACTCCTAACACTGCCTCTCTCACCAGGCGGCACCGATGCGATGGCTGCACTTTCCCAGCTGACCACCACGTAACCACTGTGTTCATGGCCCACCCAGGACTCAGCTCCTCCCGGATGGGGCCAGGGCCTGTCTCCTTCCTGCTGAATCCCAGACCCCTGCAGGAGGCTCGGCCATGGTGCTCGGGGGTGGGCTGGCCCGTAGAATATAGAACAGGGTGTGGCAGGTAGCAAGTCTCAGCCCATCGGCTCTCAAATGGAAATGATGAAACTAGTACCTTCCCCATGGCACGGTCGTGAGGGTCCCGTACGCTACCACGGAGAGTCACCTGGAACAGTTTGGGGTACACACGTCCTTGTATTATTGCAGACAGTGAAAGCCCTCAGGCCACTGCGGAGTGCCTCCATGCCTGAGAGATGCTGGGGGTGGCAGCAGGCAGGGCTCATGTTCCAGGGAGGAAAGGCTGTTCTTCCCAGAAGTGCTAGAGCTCTGGGTCACACCCCCATCTTACAGATGGAAAAACTGAGGCCCCAAGAGAGCATCGAAGTCAGTGAAATAATCAACAGCAGCAAAGCAAGTCCTCCAGAGCTGTGCTCTCACAGCTTACGTACCTGGGAGCCCCGGCCCCTCCCCGGGGCCGGAGGAAGGGAGCGAGCAGGACTCAGAACTACGTGCTGCGAATACAGGATATAAACTTGTGATTGTCTATGAATATTCGGCGACTCTGTTGAGTTATTTGTGGCACTTCAGTCAGTCTGGAAAATGTATTCATGTAGCTGTTCTGTTGGCTTAGGTGAGAAACAGTTGCTTCTCTTTGTCTCCTTTTTTAATGGAAAAATGCTTACTTTTTACATATGCCGCTCAATTTGGACGCTGCACGCCCTACAAATGCCAGGTCTGTTGAACCTCTAGAAACTACTTCAAAACAGAAAAAGTCTGCTGACACCTCAAGCCCATTTCTACCCGCTCCCCCCAAAAGGAATTATTAGAGAATGAGGGAGTGGGGGAACAGTGGGGCTATGAGCAATGTTTTCTGGCTGAATAAAGCGAATCCCAGAACCAGGAAGGCCGGCCTGGGAGGGAAGAGAAGCTGCACCGTGTGTGGGAGTCTCTGCTCCCCGGGGGGCTTCTCCCTGGTCCTGCTGCCCACTGCCCACAGAGGAGGGGCCCCTCGCCTCCACCACTTCCAGGGTGTGGCAGCTGGTCGCTGCCCTCATTAACTCCAACACAGCAGCAGGCAGGCTGCAATGTTCCAAGGAGGCTGGGACTCAGGAGAAAGCAGCAGCTGTGCCCTCCCCCTCCACGCTGTCTCAGCCCCTCCCCCAGAGCCACCTCTGCTTGTGAGCCTGCACAGGGATCTCCCTGCCCGGTCTGGACGTGGCGTCCACGCCTTTTCTAAAACATGGGAACCCTATTCATACGTGAAGATGTTTCACAAACTACCCTCCATCTCCACTGTACCTATCACTGTAAAGCCCATAGACAGACAAGAAAGGCCAGAAGCCACTATAAATTCAACAGAGCTTTTCGGTTTCACGTGTTTCCTAGCAGCATCTGTGTGCGTACGTTCAGAGGGAAGTCGCACATCCACAGGGGTGACACATCATTCACTCAGCCCACAAATGGTGCTTGGGGGAGTGTTTTGGGGTGTGTGACCCCTGGGCACCCACCCACATCTGGGCAGCTTGGGTGGGTGCTAACGAGGGGCGGCCCCCCCCCTCCCTGCTGAACGCTGCCCTCTTCCCCAGGTAGCTGACTAGGAGAGCAGCCTCCCCCCGCAGGTGAAGCTCGGCTTGCCGTGCTGTCCACCCCAATCCATCACCATTAGCCTGACCTTGCCGCGTGACAGGCCTGGTACCGGAGGCAGGGAGCCGGGGTCGGTTTTGACAACGCCTAAACATCTGACAAATCTCTCCAGCTTGTTTTCTGTTGGCCATGCAATGCATCGCTCTGTGGACGTGTGCGGACAGGTTCCCTGGGAATATTCTCTGAGCGTCTCCACCAGCTTCTGTAAACATCTCAGCTTCGCAGAGCGGCCTCTCTCCTGTGCCCCCCACCGTCTGGGTCTTTGTCCTCGGCGTTTGTTTAGAGCTCTGCTCACATGTCATCTCTCCGAGAGCCTATCCCCAACCGCCCTGACCAGAGAAGGCCCCCAGCCAGCCCTCTCTGCTCCACTTCCCTACTTTTGTTTTCTTCTCCGAGCTCCTCAGTATCTGAGGTTGCCTATCTGTTCACCTGTTTGTCTGTCTGTCCCCGCTAGAGGGGACGCTCCCTGAGAACTAGGACACTCCGCTGACAGAAAGAGCTTGGCCTCTGGCAGGCTATGGATATCAACAAACATAAATACAAACATGTCAACTGAGAGTCGGCTGCAGAGCTGGGGTTTGTCCCGAGGGCACCCAGCTAGCCCCCTCCCACCAGCACAGTGCAGTCAACCTGCTTCCCCCCTGCCCCCCCAAAACAGACTCATGAAGACTGGCCTGTGCAGGGGTGCCCAACCTTCTGGCGTCTCTGGGCCACACTGGAAGAAGAACGGTTGTCTTGGGCCACACAGTAAATACACAAATGCTAATGAAAACTGATGAGCAAAAAAAAAAAAAAATGATTTTAAGTAAATTTACGATTTTGTGCTAAGTCACATTCATAGCCATCTCGGGCCACATGCAGCCCATGGGCCGCAGGTTGGACACCCCACTGGGCATAAATTCTCGAGTGGCACTCTCCAGTGTGGTAAACACTAGCCATGTGGTAGCCACTAGCCATGTGTGGCTGTCAATAAATGTAACTTAATTAGAATGAAATAGAGTTTAAAATTCATTTCCTTATTACACTCGCCCCACCTCGAGTGCTCACCGACCACTGTGGCTAGTGGCTGCCGCGCCACACCGCACAGGGGACGGCACCGCACAGGGGACGCCGCCACCGCAGAATGCTCTGCTGGGCAGTGCTGCTCCGACGGAGTGAGCCTCGCCGGCCCTGCTCGTGGCTGCCCCAGCACTCAGAGTGCTCAACTAATGTTCTTCATTAAGTGAATGAACAAAGGAACGAGGGATACTTCTTCTGAGAACGCCCCCTCCCTCTCTCTGCTGCTGATGCTTTCTTTCTCTTCTGTCTCACAGGGAAGGACGAAGCCAGCAGCGTGGAGGTCACGTGGCCCGACGGCAAGGTGGCAAGCCGGAACGTGGCCAGCGGGGAGATGAACTCGGTGCTAGAGATCCCCTACCCCCAGGATGAGGACAGACTGCAGGACCCAGCCTCGCTGGAGGTGAGAAGGGCATCTGGGCCTCAGAGCCCGTCCACAGACCCATGGGCTGGAGCCGGATTCCCAGGCATTTGCAGACTCTGCCTCTAGAACAATGGAGGTCTTACAAAGGGCAGGCTTCACAGTGATCCTACCATTTGTAGTGTGCGCAGTACCATGCACACATCTCTGCTGCTCCTCACAGAATGCCCAGGGTAGTGGCAGGATTTGTGCGCCCATTCTACAGAGGAGGAAAGCCGAGACCAAGGCTGCACAGCCAGTTGTGAGCAGAGTTAAGAGTGGACCCCAAGTCTCCTGTCTCCTTCTCAGCTCTTTCCAAGTCTCCGACGAGCCTCCTGTTGCTTTGGAGGGTGGGAGAGGGCCTCTGGGGGCTCTTGGAGGAGGAGCTCTGTGTTCCAACTCTGAGGGGCTCAGTTGGTTGTAAACAACAGGAACTCAAGTTCACACAGAAGAGGGGCCTTGTAAGGAGACTTCTAGGAAAGCTCACAAAATCCCAGTGAAGGAGAAGGATGAGCAGAAACCATGGCAGCTCAGTGGCCTCTGCCCCAGGAGAGCTCCAGGACCTTTGTCATTAGTGCGCTGGCCCCGGGCTGAGGAGGACACCACCCTTCCCCAGTATCCCCTCCGCCCCTCACTGCTCGGCACCGACAGTTGACATTTTCCCCATTTTGTATAAAGTGTTGTCTCGAATCCCCTGACCTGCCACCAGTCTGCTGTCCCTGAGACCCTCACATAGACATAGCAAAGCCCCCACAGCCTGGCATGACCAGGTTTCCAAATTTGTCTCAGCCTCAGTTCAAATTCTGGCCACAATGCCTTTGCCTCCCTGCTCCTGCTGGGATGCGCACCACTGGCCCAGGGGGCCCTGCCCAGGGAGGTGGGGGAGAGCCCGGCTTGCAGACGCCCACAGCTATGAGTGGGGAAGGGTCTCAGAGAAGAGGGTGGGGAGTGAGCAGACACCTCAGCAAGCTTCTCCCCCCACTCATCACACTTTACCCCAATGGAGGCCCAGCCTCAGACTCAAGGCAAGGCCATGGGAGGGCCAGTCTGTGCTGACCATTCTGGCCCAGACACGCGGGTGCTACATGAGGGGAATGAGCAGGAGTTCGGACTGGGCCTGTTCTTGGCCTCCCCTCACCACCACCTCCCCCCAACCCCCGGCACACACTCCCCACCAGTGTCCTATTCTCAGTGCAACGGAGGAGATCCTGGCAGGGAGGGGCTGCCCCCAGGCCCAGAGCTAAAAGTATTTCTCATTCTGGGGTCAGGGTGGCAGCAGCTCTGTGGCCGTGACTCGGAGGGGACCTGAGATGGGATCTTCTCAACTCACTAGTGTCTCTGCTTCTGCCCACCTTGCAGTGCGGCCAAGGATTCTCCCAGCAGGAAAATGGCCATTGCATGGGTGAGTTGCGTGCAGGCACTGGGGGGTGGGGCAGAGGCCAGCATCTCCTTGGGAGCACTCAGCCTGAGCCCTGGCAAGGCTCAGGTTGCAGACAAGGTGTGGAAAGGTGGGGAGGGGAACATGTTGTTTGTCTCTGGAGCTCCAGATGCAGAGACAACCACCATGTGATTCACTAAGGTGGGAGTAACACTAGCGACCAGCTAACTGAATCACCACAGTTTGGGGAATTGTCAGTGCTTCCCTGCCGTAAATACAGAGAGAATGAGAATGGCCATGAGACACAAACCGCCGGGACAGTGCTCACAGGGAGGCTTGGCTCCTGGGGGCTGTGGCGGCTTCAGCCTGGCCAGCCGGTGGAGCAGCACGCAAGGGGGCTGACAGGCAGGGGCGGGCATTGCCAGGGGCCTTGGAGCAAACCAGGGTGTAGATTGTGATCTCGGTACCGAAGGGGATTGCAGCCTTATGCAGTACGGAGGGCAGGTGGCTGCCAGGACAGCAGCTCTGGGAAGGTCCAGTGACCTTCTGAAAGTCCCCCAACGGCTGGGAGAAGAAGGCCAGCCTTGAGTCTCCGCATCCAGAAGGCTCACAGATGTCTTCTGTGCCATTGGCTAGCAATGAGGGGTCAGGTCAAGGATGCCTCTTACCTTTCGGCCCTCAGGAAGCATTCTTCCTCAATCCACTCGGCAGGTGTCTGTCAGCCCCAAGCAAATGGGTTTGCTACTGAGATACGAGAGTAAACAGAACATACAGACTCGTCTTCAAGGGGCTGAGAGCCAATGGGAGAGGCACGCAAGTGAGCAGCAATGCCCACAGAGTGAGAGCAGGGCTGGGCTGAGGGACCGGGGCTGGGGGCTGCTCTGTGAGAGCGCAAAGGCGGGGCCCTGAAGCAGCCCAGGGAGGGCTCAAGAACGTGCCCCAGAGAGAGCAAGGTCTAAGCTGAGGCCTGAGGGGCGAAGAGGAGTGCGCCAGGCACGGAGGGGAGAACGTGTTCCCGTGGGGGGCGCTGGGGGGCGTGTGAGAGAGTGGAGGAGAATGGCTCCCACGGCGGCTTGAGGAGAAAATGAGTCCCCTCCCCTCTCCATGTCCCCACTCTGGCCACTCCAAACAGAAATTCCAGTGTCTTCCTTGTGCACCTGAAGGACCCTGTGAGATCACCACTCCAGCCGCCTCTTCCTTCTCACTGCCCAGCAGACAGTGTGTGCCTCCAGGGAGCTGGGAATTTGGGCCAAGCACCCCCCCCCCCCCGCCGCCTGCCGCCACAGGGCGTTCCTCCCAGTGGGGGACACAGACCACAACCCTTGACCCAACAGCTGGACTGCAGGCGTTAAGAACCTTTTAAGCAAGGTGCTCTCTGGAGACAGTTCTATACACAGTGGTCAGGAAGGGTCTCAAAGGAGGGGGACCTGTGAGCTGAGACTTGAAAGATGAGAAGTGTCCAGACGAATAGCTGAGGGAAGAGCTTTGCTGGCAGAGGGAAGCGTGAAGACCACGAGGCTGGGAAAAGGCTTAGCATGTCAGTAGAACGGGAAGGAGGCTGGTGTTCCTGGAGAGGGTGGAGGAGCCAGGTGCCAAGTCCAGGAGAGTCTTGAAGTCCCAGCAAGGTGTCTGGACCAGGTTCTCAGAGCCCTGTGCCAGTACGCAGGAGAGTGGCATGTCATGATTACATTTTCAAAAGATCACTCTGGCTGCCAAATTGCAGATTGGATTGGAGGGAGAAGTGGAAGCCAGGAGGCCAGTCAAGAGGCAGCTGCAGAAATCCAGGCAAGAGATGGTGCTGGTTGGGAACAGGCTGGGGGCAGGAGGACGGGAAGCAGGTGGACAGACAAGAGGGGTGCCGTGGGGGCAGAACTGAAGGGATCTGCTGTTCAGTTGCCTACAGAGGTGAGGAAAAGGAAAGAATCAAGGGTCGCACTGACTTATGCTTGAGCAGCTGAGGGGATGACAGTGGCATTGAATGAGTTAGGGAAGATGGGAACGGGGGCAGAAGAGGTCTGAGGACTGGAGGGAATCTAAAGTTCCATGTGGGACCTGCTAAGTTGAAGATGCAAGTTAGACAGCTTTCCGAGTCTGGAGCCCCAGGGAGAGGTTGTGGCTGGAAACGGGAAGTCTAGAAGTATTCACATACGAAGGGCCCACCTGGAGAAAGTGTGGTAGATAGAAGCAGACCCAGGACACAGCCTGAGTACCCCCCTCATGTAGAGGTCAAGCACAGAAGAAGCCCACCAAGGAGACTGAAGTGAGGAAGTGGAGGCCCAGAGAAAAGGAACATGTCCCAAGTCACAGAGAGCAGGGGCAACAGAGCCTGAGCAAGGACCCAAGCCCCCCCCCCCAAGTGAGTGACACCCTTACCTTCCAGACACCAATGAGTGCATCCAGTTCCCGTTCGTGTGCCCTCGAGACAAGCCCGTGTGTGTGAACACATATGGGAGCTACAGGTGTCGGACCAACAAGAGGTGCAGCCGGGGTTACGAGCCCAACGAGGATGGCACAGCCTGTGTGGGTGAGTCAGTCCCGGCCGCAGTCCACAGTCCAGTAGCAAAAGGAGGTTACCTTCTGCTGGGGTGCTCTGGGGAGGCCCCAGATCAAGGCCCCCAGCCCCTGCCTTCTCCTGGCTGGCTGGAGTTTCCTTAGACCCCTCTTAAGTCTCCAGGAAAATGGTGACAGAGGCTTGGGGAAGCCCCATCACTACTGCCACCAACTGAAGGACCCTTGGGGTGCAGCATTCTGGCCAGAGGCCGTTGCTCTTCCTAATTCTCCCTCCTCATACTTCCTAAAACAAATGCTCTCACCTTAAGGCCAGCCCACCTATTCCTACCTGGGATACAGACTGGCTCCTACTATGTATTTGTCTGAATTTCTGAACTGGTATTTGTCTTCTTCCTCCCAAATACTTTTCCCTACCCCCACCCCACCCCCACCCCCTTTCTCTTTTTCCCATTTTCTATCTCTCTGCTCCATCCTTTTTGCAGCTCAAGTGGCCTTTTTAGGTGGGTATCCTTCTGCAGCCTTTAGAATCTCTGAGCCTCTCTCTTGGGCCTCATGCCTTTCTCTAGGCCTCGGACTTTGCCTTCAGTTATATGCATTATAAATCCCATCAATAAAGGAAAAAAACCAACAACCTTTGTGGAAAACTAAATTCCTCCTGCTGCCTGTCTCTCTCTCCATGCCCAGTAGATTCTGCTGTGTGCTCTCTGAATGGACAGTGGGGCGGCCATCTTTGAAAAGGGAAGTTTGGGAATACTGATATTTGTGTATCTTCAGGTTGTTTGTGAAGCCTTTCTTTGCATGTTTTCTGAGAAAACAGAAAAGGAAAGTCTCCTCTCGGCCCAATCCATCCTCCCTCACTCCAGAAGAATCAAGATAGTCCTATATTTTCTGTATCCTCCTGTGTCATGAGCAGCTTATTCTGCCCTTAACAAAGATGGCCCTCAGGTGGTTGCTTGCTCAGTTGACTCAATAATGTACCACGTGCCTGCGAGTTGGCCTGCCCTGTTTCTGCTCTGTGAGCTCTGGCTTCCTATGGTAGAGAATGGGGGTTGGCAGTGACAATGGGAGGGGGAAAAGGTAGCCCTTTGGGATTCTTGATAAAAATGTTGAAGTTTGAACTTGCTAAGTCTTCTAGCCTGTTTCTGGAGAAATTATGCCAATAATTCCTCTGCTGGATATTAGTGCCTAGCTGGTGGAAAGATAGTGTGTCTGGGGCAAAGCAGATGCTGGTTGCAATAGTGAATAAGCAGCAGCCCTTCCATCATGTGGCACTTGGAAAGCAAACCATGAGATAGGGACAGTACCCCTGAACATGAGCAACGGTTTGGGCGTGTGCGCCAATGATCACCTGTGCGAGACTGGAATCTGGACCAGATGAGCAAGACCCAGACTTGGAGGGAGTACTCTGGACCTTTTACCTGGGAACAATCACATCTTCACTCTGGGCCTCAGTTTCCCTAATCTAAATAAGAGAATTGGGCTGGCATATCCCTAAGGGCCCTTTTTCTAAGGTACCTCAATGTGTAACTGGACACAGGCATGGCTAGTCTCAGGTTACCCTGATTTTTAGAAAGGACCTTGCAACCCAGCTTCCTCTGCAGTATGCTTGGAAACTGGGAGCTCCTGCAGCCAGAACGCCCTTTGGGATGATGTAGGGCCGCAGAATGCTTTCATGGCCAACCTCAGTAGCGAAGGTTCATTATAAATCACAAATCTGTTGTTCGTGGAGGAAAAAGTCACCCCAAGATATAATAGAATAACACTTGAGAATGCAGCAAGCCTTTTTAAAACATATTGAACAAAAAAAACCTACCATTTTCTGATATAACATTAATACTCCCAATAAATCACAAAATACAAATGCCTTGTAGCTAGTACTGTTTTTATACTCAGAACAGGAGCTTAAATGAAAAAATTTCAAATAGAAACAGCTACAAGTTCACAGAAAAGCATATAGCAACTTAAAAATCACTCCACTCCTGAGAGGCCCACCTCTGTGCGCCGCCGTAGAATTAAAGATCAGAAAGACCCTAGAGAGGAGGCTCAGAGAGAGGAAGTGATCTGCCCAGGGTCACGGTGCCGGCCGGCCCCCAAGCGAGGGCTGGAGCCCTCTCCCACCACACCGTCTCGGCAGCGGGCAGCAGACAGCACGGACACTGCTCAGACTGTTCCCTAGTCATTCCGGAAGATGCTGCCTTTTTAGGAACAAACGGGTAGATCTAAGGTAGGAATATAAGTAAAATCCAAAACCCACGGAGGCACTGGCTCCAAATGCAACGGTAAACAAGATAACCGTGTCCTTTGACTGGCCGCGCACACAAGAAATAAGGGACGGGACAGCCAGTGAGGCAGTCGGCCACAGACAACAGGAGGTTCAGGGTGAGAGCAAACGTCAGAGGGTGGCTTATCAGCGGTGACGATGAATCCCCGCACTGCAGGTTTCTTACATTTTTGTTGTTTTGCCTACGTGGTCAGTGGGGCCAGATGGGTTACTAACAGGAGTTCCAACTCCCTCCAGCTGTTAAGAGCACAACTACAATATCCCGACTCCAGGTTAAGCAGGTTTTCCATTAGATTCACTCATTCAACAAATGTTGGTTGAGCACTTACTATGTGCCAGGTACTGAGCTAGGCTTTGGGCATGCAGTGGTAAGTTAAAGTGGCATGGCTGCTGTCCCCACACTAGCTTCCTCCAGCCAGAGCCCTGCGTATGGAGTAGGAATGAGACCCAGAGGGGCTTCTAAAAGGTCTGGCTAAATTCGGGGGCTGCTATACCAGAAAGCCAGCTCTCTGCATTTGTTCATAAATTTATCTCACAAGCATTCATTGAGAACCTCCTGTGTGACAAACACCAAGTTCCCCTCATAAGGAATGTGACAAGGTCCCTCCAATGAGTGGCTCGAGTTCCCTGCCCCCAAGATGCTTGTGTCGGAAGAAATACAAGGCGAAAAGACACAGAGGATACGTGGGTAGTGAACCAACTCAGCTTTACCTGCTCCGAAACAATAAGGCCTCCGCAGCGGCCGGGAATCCAGACTTTGTGAGCCAAGGGCCGCCCCAGTCCAGGGCATTTACTGTTCTGTGCGGAACCAGTCACAGATAAGTGGGCACTGAACTGCACCCAAGCCATCAGTCTCTGCATTCCCATCTGAGGCCCATGGGGGCCCTAACTCTTGCCTTCCCCTTCTAAACACAGACAATTCAGTCTTTTCTCTGTCCCCTAACCCCACTCCTGACATCTTTATTGGCTGGCTTTGCGTTTTTAACAGAAACAGTAAATGCCTTTGGAGCTGACCAATAGTGGGGGGGGGGGGGCACCTGGGAAGGATTATGCAAATACAGGAGCTAGGACCCCTATGAAGGGGGTGGCCATGACTCACGCCAGCAGAGCAGGAAGATGGGCTAGCATTGCCAGAATGCCATTTTTTCCAGAAAAGCCAAATCATAAAAATAATACTATCTTTATTCTGCCCAAGAATACTCCTCTTCCCAGGAATGCACCCTATAAAATGACAATATTAGCTTACATCTAGTGAGCTTAGAGTGTCTGCCTTGGACCAAAACTCTTCACAAGAATCAACTCACATAATCCTCACAACAGTCCCAAGAGGCAAGAGCTCTGATTGTCCCGGTTTCACAGAGAAGCTGGGTGGTGTGTCCGGGGCCACACGGCTGGGTACACAGCAGCAGGACTCCATGAGGGCCGTCCAGCCCCCAGCGGTGCTCTCACCTCCACTGCTTCCTTCTCCTTTTGGAGTGGCTAACCAGTTAGGCAAAAGCCACACTCTCTCATGCTGCCCAGGGTCAAGGGATGGGTTGGGAAGGAAGGAATGGAGTCCCCGGAGGACCTGAGATCCGAGACAGTCTCCCCACGGCCACATTCAAGCTGCAAGAACAGATAGCAGTGCCTGTGTTGAGTGCTCGCTGGGCCCCGTGGCTACCCTCACGGACGCAGAGTTGTGAATCACCCACAGTTGCCAGCCCTGCTCTGGGGAGGTGCCATTCTGAGGGCCAGGAGTTTGATTATGTGTCACTCTGGCTGCTATGGCCCCCTCCCAGGGTCTGGGCATCACAGCCTACCAGCACCAACGGTCGGGAGCCCGAGCGGGAACTTCACTCCAGCCACGGGCAGAACTGTCAGTCACCTCCCCAGAGCCTCTGGGAGGCAGGAGGATGAACACTCCAACTCATTTTCTCAGGGAGCAGATTGCAGAACGACACCCCCAGCCACACTCTCGGCCTAGGAGGCAAACCTTCCCCAGGGTCAGCCATTGTCCCTCTCCCTGGGTGTGAGTCAGCCCCCTGCCACGTCCTGTCAGGGGCTGACGTTCGGTCTCCTTAGCAACAGGCACGTCCTGGAAGGAGGAAGAGGGAGGGCGAGGGAGCAGGGGCTGACGGACTCCCCAGATAATGCAAGCCCCTCCTTCGGCGGCTTGTCCTCTTAAGGAAACGCTGTTGGACAGCAAAGTGGTCTAAAGGGTAGGCCGTCAGAGAAAAATGAGGCACAAGAGGAGAAAAAAACAACCCTCCTCAGGGAAGGGAGCTAACATTTACAGAACGGGCGCCTGCCATGTGCCAAGAACTTTACATATGTATCTCCATTAATCCTCACGCCCATCCTAGGAGAGAAATGTTATTAGTCTACTTTATTACCAAAGAAGCAGAGGCGCAGGAAGAATAAGTTACTAAGGCAACTAAGTGGCAAAAACTGGGATTCAAACCCACAACTGCCTGGCTCCAAAGCCTGTGTCCTTATGGGGGGCAGTCTCCAGGTAACTGACACCTGGGCAAATCATTTAACCAGGTGTCACTCGGCATACACTGATCGGACTCCTACTGAGTGGTGACAATTCTAGTGACTTGGGATATACATCTGGGAGCAACATGGGCGAAAGTGCCTGAGTGCCCCAGTGACATATGGCAGGCGCTAAGCGACATTATAAGTATATAGTGTATTGGAGGGTGGTAGGTGCTGTTTAGGGACAGGGTTGAAGAGCAACGCTCAGGCAAATTGGGAGTGCTGGGATAGAGGCCAATGCCATTTCAAATAGGGTGGGTCAGGGTGGGCCTCGCTGAGAAGGAGGCATTTGAGCAAAGACTTGAAGTAGGTGAGCTGTCCTTGAAACTCAATTTTTTTAAAAGATTTTATTTTAGAGAGAGGGGAAGGGAGAGGGAAAGGGAAGGAAACATCAGTATGTGGTTGCCCCTTGTGTGCCCCCTAGTGGGGACCAGGCCCACAACCCAGGCATGTGCCCTGACTGGGAATTGAACTAGCAACCTTTTGCTTTGTAGTCCGGTGCTCAGTCCTCTGAGCCACACCAGCCAGGGCTGAACTCAATTTTTTCATCATATAATGAGGATAATACCTACTTCACAGAGTTATTGTATTAAGCAAGCTGATATGAAACACATGATGTGGTGCCTGCACAGGGTAAGCCCCCAGTAAATTAGAAATGTTATTAAGTAGCAAAGGTTAGGACAGAGCCCGGATCTATTTAATGCCAAAGCTCCTGTGGCTCCCAGCACACCCTGCTGTGGCCCAGGTCACCTGGGAGTCTGCAGTGGGGGAGATGGGGAGGAAACTGGCCACCCACAGGGAGCTGACAGCTTTGCAGG